AGGGAGCGGCATGGAATTCTGGGGGATGATGTAAGCCACTTCTTATTCTTTCTGCCGTTTCTCCCCTCTCTTGGACTTTGCCCTAGTGTCGCTTACCATCTGTCATGCCTTGAATGCCCTTCCAAGGCCATGAGGGCCCAGTCTCTCTATAAAAACCGTTACGAAAAGCTGAAATATCAATGACACCATCGAACAAACTTTTATTCTTTGATTAAGCTCAAAAACTCGAAGTAAAAAATCAATGAGCATAATACAAGGGAATAGTAAAAAGGGTCAACATCTAAGAAATAGTTAGGGATCTGAGCTGAGCTGATCGACAAAATGGTCATGAAGCAACAACCTCACACGAGGACGGGGTGAGATTGATGCCATGTCGCTGTGGAAAGCGGCTCAGAATTTCGGACGTATTCATTACAATGTTCTTCAAACACGCGGGTGGCAGAAGGGAATATGGTGAGTGGGCGGAGCGAAGTATCTGAACGACGACATGTGATTCGCTAATGACGTGTACGGTCATGAAACCAACCTGGTTACGGTCGTACTCGACTCTCACATGAATCTGGCCCTTTTCGTCACGTGACGACACGATCGTTCCACCTCCTGGAGCATTCGTCGACGAGACCACCTGAACAACAGGTTTTGATAAAAATGGGAAGGATCTGCCAGGAAATTGAAGCCCAAGGTTCGAGACTGAACACTCAAACCATCGACATTCCGTTTAATTGGGGATCGTGCCCATGACTCCTCTCCAGAACGGATGGCGGTAATCGCTGTGATAATTAACGTGGACATCTGTCGTTAAGTGCCGTATTTACCACACAAGCACCCATCGAGGACACATATACTATCTGGCATCGAGCACGAATTCTACGAGCGTGCATCTTTGCTGATCAATAGACCATTTCCTGAGATTCTACAGACCATTTGTTTGGTAAGTCCCTAAGCGCGTACCTGCGGGAATGAAGCCGTGGGCCAGGATACTGCTTGCAGCTCACCTAATTGGAACCACCCACTGCCTTGGTTGTGGGTGGTGAATATCGATGTAGGAACTTACAATCCACTCCCACCTGAATCACGGAAACAATTGCAGCTGTCCAAAAATCGTCCAGGTCCATTCAAAATAAAAAGGTATCGAAGCCTTTAAATAATGGCCTTTAATGTTGATCAATCACTCTTTGGATGAGCCAAGCATTCTACTCCCATTCTGGATCGTGGAGCCATTTGAACGCCACTTCGCCTCTCTATGGTTTGGTCGATGTAGGAGTCCGTGTTTTTATCCTCACAGACAAGTATGGTACAACTTGAGCGATACCGGAGTGATGGAGGGCTTGCGTGATCTGCAGGACAGGCAATCGAGTAACTCTGGATCCTGGGACCGCGCAGGTGGATGTAAGCAGCGATCTTTGCCCACTAGCCAATTTGCGCCATTTCGAATACTTGGCAGGAGCTTGTCTTCCTCGGTTAACAGCTTTTTCATAAACCGAGGAGGGACAGTTACAACCACCACGTCCGGGCATAAAGAAAGACGGCGCCATGCGCGAAGATACGGGATTGTGATGGCCAATACACTTAAAAACCGATAGTCAATACATGCCTTTTGTTGAGAAACGAACCAAGCAGGTGTGGAGGACAGCGTTATTTAATTCGCATGAGATACCTCACATTGCCGACAGCCCGGAAGAGACTCGGCGAACAGCAATTACGCTACATTACGAGCCTCGGGTATCGCGCTGGATGTGTGATATCAAAGCTGACAGCCGATCGACTCTACCAATCCACCCTCGTATCGGAAATGGGAACAAATTATCTTCCAAGTGGGAATTCGCGAATAGGAGTAGTAATGATTGCTGCTAAACGATACCTCAAAAGCACACAGTGAGCGTCTGCTTACAACTCCGGCCTCAGGGATCGGCCTTACCCTGCCATACTCGCCTCCTCGAGGGGTCTCCCCTCGTCTGACTTTAGGAACCGTACAAAGCTAAGCATGGGCTGCAAGAGATAGGTCAATGTAAGTCGTTTTTAGAGCTTAGCGCTCATGCCCTAAAGAAGGGGGAGACATTCAGCGAAAAGGCATTCAAAACAGCTATTATGTGACATCTAGACTAAGTCCAATAGAAGAAAAGAAAAACGCCAGGGGAGAGCGAGTCTTACCGTACGTCTTCCACAGAATCTTCGTACCTCTCTCTATATGCTTAAGCTCCCAAGTTCTCTCAGGTGGCTCACTCACTTCCAGTGCCTCCCTCAAAGCAACAGTCCCAGCAGGGTGGGCGTGGTCGGAAACGACTGCAATCCCCTCGGCCGATTCCGACCACGCCCACTTCAGCTCCCTCCTAGCGGCTTTCCAAGGTGAGTTTTTGTTCAGTCACACTTCTACGTTCTTGACTAGGGGCTGAACAGCTCCGAAGTGGGAATCGGCCGAGGGGATTGCAGCTGTTTCCGATCCACGCTGCTAGGACTGTTAAGGACATGAGCGCTATCTACACTTTACATTCGAGCCATGCATACAATGATCTCATGATTAGCTAAGCGAAAATTCATTGTGCACATGTCAGAAACGCGAATTAATCGATTATTTCATCATTTTAGAATTTCTCTACAAAAACGGTCTTCAAATTGACTAGTTGTATGATACACTCACGATTTGACTCGGTGTGATGGGCGCAGTGGCTGCTGTCGCCGTCAGTGAATTGTTGGCTGCCTGGCGATGAGCACCACGTGACTTGTTGTGCTGATTCCGTTTCTTCCTTCTCACTTCGTCGACGTGCGGCTTCACAGGATCTGACGGCGGCACAACGTGGCGGATTTCAGGATGCAACGGATGGATCTCGAAGTTATTGGACGTCTGAAATTTGCGACAATCCTGGCGAGAACGTGGTGAAAAGAGAAGAAAACCGGGCCCACCTTGCGCTGAGCGTGCACACTGCCGCTCACGTGGGCCGCATGATTCGAGCGTAGCATGAGCATCGACAGAGCGTTTGGGAAGGTGATTCCCGGTGGTGGACCAGCGTGAGGACGAAGAGCTGGAGGTACCGGGTAACCGTACTGCGCCCGTGGAATCTGTGAGCACCAACCATTCGGTATATCGCAGTACTTATAAGAGACCATCGTAAAAGAGAAAAGACCATACCTGAGGAGGTGTTTGTGAACCAGGCGGTACGGGAAATAGCTTCGAGAGCACTGGACTCAGCTCCATCGTGTCGAGATCTGACCAATGATCAATGCTCTTTATCACCATATCAAAGCCGCCACGTTGCATTTCAAGCCAAAACTTGCTTCGGGTGGTAAGGTGAGGTTTCATTAACCTTTCGGAATAGTTAGAAGGTACCAGCCGAAAAATATCACTTACGGAGCCTATGGGCGTTCTTTTCACGCTCAGTTGCTGCTCCGATCGTACTACATACACCTCGAGATCTTCGACGAATTTCAACGTAATCCTGGAATTCACAAATCCGGAACGCTGGGGGGGGGGGGACATTCGAAACAGGGCATTCAAAACCCGCTGGTAGGTGAAACTAGGAGGGAATAGACGGGGTAGAACGACGGTTGCTCTTATCCTCTCCCAGAATCCTTTCCCTCCCTAAGGCTTAGTCCCTAGTTATACTAGTGGCCCATCACTTCTATGTCCCCCTCAGGGATATGAGTGCCCAGCTTGGTTTCGTTCACTGGGCCTGGAACTGAATTTCGGTC